CGCTGGGGGAGGGGCTGCCCGCAGCCCCAGGAGGTCGGCGGAGGGTGAGGGTGTGGACTGCAGGAAGTACAGTCGCAGGTGAGAAGAGACGATTCCCCAGGTGGGCCCTCCCCGTGGCCCAGTCCTGGGGACTCACCACTGTGCTGGGGGTGGGCTCCACACCCCCATTGATGTCGTTGCTGCTGGCGTCCCTCCGGCCATCGTCCAGGGCGCTGGCGGCTCCCGGCCCCTTCTTGCGCTTCAGCTTGGCCAGGATGGACGACTCGCGCTCGGGGAAGGGCGGCATCTCCTCCAGCACCGTGGCCTGCGGGGTGGGGGGCGGGAGCAGGTCAGGAGGAGGGGGAGGGCGGGGCACAGAGGTGGAGGGGGGCAGGTGGGGACGGGCCCTGACCAGGACGTCCGTGCTGGCCACCGAGCTGAGGGTGAGGTACTCGACCGCGCGCTGCTGCAGCTCCACGTCCGCGTTGCGCAGCTGGGAGCCGGCCCGCAGCACGCCCTGGATGGTGGCCTTGGTCTCCGGGAAGAGGTTGATGAACTTGATGTAGGTGGACAGCAGCAGGGCCCGCGTCGCCACGCTGCACAGGTGGAACTTGGAGTGCAGCAGGGAGAACTGCACTGGGGGGCTGCGTGGGGGGCAGGGGTCAGCGTGGGGCTCCACCGTCTCTCCCACAAACCCCCTGAGGTGCCGCCTCCCTGGCTGTGACCCGTCCCAGGCGGCCCCGGGGCAGTGGCTGCGGCCACGCTCCCCTAGAAGCTCCTGAGAGCTGGGCTGTCCCTCACCCACCAGGTTCGGGGCGAGGGGCCGAGAAGATTCCCGTCATCACTGGCCCTGAGACTCCTGGGGTCCCCCCACCCCGGACCCTTCAGAAGTGCGTATGCTCATCCCCTCACCTGGAGCGGGGGTCCCCGGCAATCAGGTTTCCAAACTCCCCGAGGATGTAGCCGCCGACCTTCACCATGTTCTCGTGACAGGCTGGGGCCTGGAGCGCCTGGAGGCCGGGACAGGCATGAGTGCCGGCGCCCTGGCTCCGGTCACCCAGCTGTGCGGGCGGGGCTGACCTCGGGCCCTCCGACGTGTGTGGGATTAGAGATGGAACCGAGGCCAGAGGGGGGAAGTGACCGGCTCCAGCTCCCACAGGCAGTGACACAGGGCAGAGGGAGTGGGTAACTGCTGCGGCCTGGGGATCGGCCACTGCACGCGGCTGACCACACGCTGGCCAGTGAAGGCCGGGCCCCGTGTCCCTTGGAGGAGCAGGGAGCCCAGGGAGCAGCTCTGTCCTTCTCTGCCTCGATGCCCCCGCGGGGGTGCTGACCTCAAACACAGTCTTGGCGGCGTAGCCCTGGACGTCATCACGGTTGGTGACGATCTGCAGCACGCGGTACCACACCTCCTCGCTCACATAGTCGCCTGCGATGCGGATGAGATTGAGGATGGTGTCCACGTACCAGCTGTAGTCCACTGCGTACTTCTCAGCCAGAATGGCCACCTTCAGGACCTGCCAGCCGGAGGGAGGACAGGCATGCGTGTGTGCACGAGCGTAAGGTGTGGACTCAACTAGATCTGGGCTCACAGCTGTCCCCATCTGGAGACCCAGGTGTCCAGGCCCCCAGCCCCTCCTCCCTCAGACCCAGGCGTCCAGGCCCCCAGACCCTCCTCCCTCAGACCCAGGCGTCCAGGCCCCCAGACCCTCCTCCCTCAGACCCAGGAGTCCAGGCCCCCAGCCCTTCCTACGGTCCAGGCCCCCAGCCCCTCCTCCCTCAGACCCAGGGGTCCAGGCCCCCAGCCCCTCCTCCCTCAGACCCAGGGGTCCAGGCCCCCAGCCCCTCCTCCCTCAGACCCAGGGGTCCAGGCCCCCAGCCCCTCCTCCCTCAGACCTAGGATTCCAGGCCTCCAGCCCCTCCTCCCTCAGACCCAGGAGTCCAGGCCCCCAGCCCCTCCTCCCTCAGACCCAGGAGTCCAGGCCCCCAGCCCTCCTAGGACTCACGATCTCTTCTCGGATGGCATAGTCGGCAGTCTCCAGGTACCGCAACATCTCCGACACGATCTGCTTGGCGTTGCTCCGGTCGCACATGGCGTAGAGGAGGTCGGCCGCCCGCTGCCGCACGCTGACGTCCCGCTCCGTCTGAGGGAAGAGAGCAGGGGTGTGTTCTGGGCTCCGTGTGGCACAGGGCTGGCCACCCAAGGCCTCCGAGCCCCGTGCCCTCTGAGGAGGCAGAGGAGACAAGGGCCCCGAGATCACACCTTGAGGGCGTTGATGACGGTGTCAATGTGGGTCTTGACCGCCTCGTGGGAGAACTCGGAGCTGGCCAGCGTGCACATGCTCTCCAGGGCCAGGTAGCGCAGGTTGGTCTCACGGTGCTGCAGGAACTGGCCCAGCTGGTTGCAAGCCCGCACCAGGAGGTTGGGCTCACTGCCAGAGAGAGAGAGAGAGAGAGAGAGAGAGAGAGAGAGAGAGAGACACGGGACATGAGGCAGGGGCCTCGGGCGAGGCTGGTCCATCCGCACCATCCTCAGGACGCAGGTCATGGCCGACCCGGTGACCCGGACATGGAGGCCACAGCCCCAATAAAGAGCCAGTTCTGCCTCCCGGGAGGGAGCCGCACAACCCAGCAGGGTGCCATCCTCCTCCTTCTACCTCAAGGTCACAATTCCCGGGCCCGCCCCCGCCCCCACCCCGGCGGGCACCTGTCGTAGTGGATGATGAGGCTGATGGTCTCGAAGAGGACGGCGTTCTTGGCATTGGAGTGCTGGACCTTCTTGGACTTGGGCGGCTCCTGGGCCTTGTTGAGCACCGTCTCCAGACACTCGACCAGCCTGCCCTTCACCGCCGCGTCCTCTGAGGAAACGGAGGGCATGTCCCGGCTGAGTCTGCCGGCCCAGCTCACCTGCCGGGGGCGGGGGCCAGGCCACGGCCCCCCTTCCACAGGCAGGGGGCCGCCCCGCAGCGGGCGCCC